TACTGGGACATTATACAATTATTGATTCAGTATGTTGTGCCTGGATCACTAAAAGTTATTGTTCCCAGTTCACCATGTTTTTGTACAAGGACTGTTATTATACTGCAGCATTGTAAATGGCTTTTCCAGACACTGGAAGCTAACAGATAATCAGCTTAGCTGTTATGACAGGTAGTTTTGCAAATTCATAATTCCTACTTTGTTGGGCTAATTTCCATGCAAACAAATGAGGTAGTGGATTCTACCCAGTGAAATGAATGTAGCTGGGAGACCAGTGACAAGAAGAAGCAGTCAAGCAGACAGTTTGTGATGATTAAAAACAGCACATTTCTATAAACATGCGCTTCATGAAGCCCTGCTGCACCTGTCAGGTGTGTTTCCACGAGGCTCACTGTGCCAGGTGACAGAAGGATGAGATTATACGTTTGGTCCTTTTGGATTATTGTGGAATCGATGCTGCAAACGTGTCGCTTTGCTTACTTGTTGTCGTTGTTGAAGGGATCCACGGTCTGCTGGTACTGCCCATTCATCCGGCTTTCTTTACTGAAACACGCGGCAGAGACTCAGTAACGACATACCAACTGTTGTTCTTTCAAGCAGAATAGTTTCCTCGGATGTATTACACAAATTAACATTCACTGCAAAAGCGACTGTGACTGCTCAAAGAAATGAAAAGAACACTTTTCGATCAGATTATAGCATCAAGCCAGTGAAATATCTGGTTAGTTAAGTAGCAGAGGACATTGTTATTCAGTGTCAGCTGCTTTGTTGTTAATAAAATTAATGAAAGATCCACTTGAGTCCCCAAAACAAAAATAGTTCTACAGGCCTCTCACATTTTTTCTGGCTTGTTTTTTCCCCCCCACTAGTTTTGGCTCGGATCAGTGTCACTATTGAGAGCACGAGGCGATACCTGGACCCTAAACAGGTTGCACAGGTATTTAAACATCAATATGTGCTGTTGCCAGAAGGTTTGCGGTGTCTTCCAGCACAGTCTCAGGAGCATGGAGGAGATTCCAGGAAGCAGGCAGTTACTGTAGGAGAGCCCGACAGTGCTGTAGAGCAGCGTTTCCCAACCTTTTGGAGCCACGGCACATATTTCACATTTTTGTCTAATGTCAAAAAAGTTTTCTCCAGGACAGAGGTCAGCATGACTATTATGTAACTACTTCTTCTATTTTACTGGCAGTTGGCAACTTAATTAGAGTACGAAGTGGAAGAGAATGTAATTGTTCTGCTCGTTACTCAAGCCGGTCGCTGAGACTACTAATCAGGTGGAACCAGATAATCTTCCACGGCACACCTGATCATTTCTAATGGCACACAGTGGTTGGGAAACTGCTGTAGAAGGTCCTTAACCCATTAGCAAGTCCGGTATCTGCTCCTTTTGTGGAAGGAGGAACAGGATGAGCACTGCCAGAGCTCCAGCAGGACACTGGTGTGAATGTCTCTGACCAAACAGACTTCATGAAGGTGGCCTGAGTTCCCGACTGCCTGGCACTGTGGATCCTGACTGGCATTTGCCTCATAATACCAAAACTGGCAGGTCCACCACTGATGCTCTGTGCTTTTCACAGACGAGAGCAGGTTCCCTCTGAACACGTTACAGACGTGAAAGAGTATGGAGAAGCCATGGAGAACATTATGCTGCCGGTAACGGTTTGGTGATGGATCTGTGGTGTCTGGGGAGGGACATCCATGAAAGGACTCACAGATCTCTAAAGACTAGGCAAAGACACCCTGATATTAGGTATCAGGATGAAATCCTTGGATCCACTCTCAGACCCTACCCTGGTACAGTGGGTCCTGGGTTCCTCCTGATTTTGGGGGTTTCTTTGAATTCACCCCATTGTAGGTTGATAATTTTCATTTCCATCAAGTGATGTGGTATCCTTTAGTTCCCAGCACACACACCAGTACAGATATCGAGCATGATTTTTTTCAAAGTGTTCTTTTCATTTTTTTTGAGTGTTATATACAGTACACATACACGTTTCCACAGTAAGGATGTAAACATATTTAGATATGAGCACATAGTAATGTACTCTGAAATAAAACACGGCCACCATATTTTTCCAGCTGACTGATGAGTTAGGAAATGCAGGCGTCATCCAGACTCTGCTGCAATGATCAGTCTTTACGGTTGTGCTCATTAATGACAAAAATCAGTTTATGACCAAAAATCTATTTTCTAAAAAGAAAAGACACTGGACGCACACAAGTCCATAAAACACAGTTGTTACTGTGATTGAGGCCTAGCATGCACACAGCAGCTTCTAGTTTTTATGCACCTTACTGAGTTTTCTTTGACAGCTTCCAGCCTTCTTTTAGATTGTGCTCACCTAGAGGCCATGAACGGGGTCATGTCCAGCTCCAGAGGAAAGGAGACATAAGTAGTGATCTTCCGCCGCAGTTTGGCCGAATGCTCAAACCTCTGCGAGCACACGCACATATCCACGAGTTAGAACAGGTAATAAATATCCCCCTTCATTAGCCGTCAAATGTAACCTCTCTTACTTTGAGGTGAAAGCACGCCACGATGGGCAGCTTCTTCATCGTCAGTTGCTTGGTAGACTCCTGGTAACTATGGCAGCCGCTGCACTTGATCTTTGCGCTGCTCCCGAGGTGTTCTGGTCTGGTGAACCTGGACAACAGAGGGTGAGATTTGGTACCAGGGACTAGTGCTGCTGCTTCCCCTGTCAGGAAGGGTAGGAACAGTTTTATGTGACGCTCATGATGATTCTGGGATGAGGCTAAAGGGTGGGTCTCTGAGTTTGCAGAGCATGTAGGATTGTTCTGATTAAAACGCTGAAATCATTCTTTTCATTTTACGACCACAAAACAGACAAAAACTCCCCACCTGTTTATCTTTTAATGCTGATGACTACAGCTCAATCCTGACGTTTCAGATCATGTCTCTCTGATCTATTCTTCATATGTCAGTTACCTGCGCAGACAGTCCGTCAGTGTTGTGGCTCCAGTGGTGTGACTCTCTCCGTTAAGTGCTGATCCATCTCCTCCGGGGCTGAGGGGCCAGAATGGTGTGGAAGAGCCTGGCAGGTCCAGGCTGATGTCCCAAAATGGGTCTATAGTTGTTGAAACACCACTGGGAACCAAACAGAGGCCAGGATGTCACGTGACACGGTCAAGTGTTACTCTTGAGAAGTCACAGCTCAAAAGAATCATTATCATACCCAATGTACAATGATCCAGAAATGGTAAAACAGAACCATTTTACCTCCGAGTCATTTTATGACCAGCTATGAGAACGGGATGAACCCAGAATCTCACTTTCTTCCCCTTCTTTATTAGAAACATCAGCACAAGCTCATTATCACTTCATGTCAACTCATTTTTTTCACAGTTTGCTTTAAAGGATCATTTATTTTCTTGCAAAAATACAGGAGGTGCAAACAGTGACAACCATATTAAGGTTATCTGTTCTTACTGACACACACAGAGAAAAGGGTTATGAATTTTAAAAAAGGCCCCAGATAAGTGGAAGAAAACGGATGGATGGAATCACAAAATTGTGGCTCACTGTATTTACTGCTGATTTCTTTTTTCCACTGGAGAGGCACCAGCTGTGTTCCTCAGCTAAGCATGACTTGACAATAAGCTCAAAACTTCTTCTGACAGTAACAAACAAACTGCTACACTTAGTGCAGTGACCCAGAAATGCCGCTGCCTGGGTTCAAGTCTGACCCGTGGCCTCTGCAGCGTTTCCCCTGCTCTCTCCCGTCTACTCGTCACTTCAGCCACGCCAAATAAAGGCAAAAATGCCCCAGTGTGTGAAAATATCTCTTATATGGAAATAGGAGCTAATCACATAACAGATCAGTTTAAAAAATAAATAAATAAAAAAGGCGGGCTAGTCCACTCAGAGCTTCAACTGCCTCCACAAACCACCAGGTGGAGCTAGAGTTCAACTTTACATGCCATGAAAGGATGTTCCTGTTGCTGCAGTGTAGCAGTTCACCAAGTGTGTGATTGATGGTGCAGTATGTGAATGATAGAGGAGAACGGAGGCATTAGGGAGGGAGGGGGAGGAGGGTCACCTCGAGGCAGGCCATTAGACATTCTGATGCAGCCAAGTGAGGCCTGTTTTGTGGCTGTTTTGTGTCTTCATGATGAAACTGTACACTTTAATCTCTTTATACAGACTCCAGTGAGGCATCAGTAGAGTTTTAAGTTGTTTTTTCCCTGCACACACACTCACAGCCTCATAGACACACACACTCACTGGCAGGCTTGACAGGTGACGTCAGACTGCAGGCCCCCTGTGAAGATTTGGTCAATGATGCAGTTACAGTGGTTCGGGTTGTTTGCCTTCTTCCCATTGTCATCTGTAGGGACACAAAGAAAACACACACACACACACACCAAAAACTTTAAAGCACACTGTCACTAAAAGCCTTACTGTGTAACTTCACAAATCCCCACTGTGCTTATAAACTGACAAGAGATCCAAAAGAATCAATACTGCCTCTCGTGTGTTTTCAGCCTCTTAACTCTCCGTGTCAAACATGTCTGACTGAAAGTCACATGTCTCAGCTTTGATGGTCGTCTCAGCTTGTTTATGATATCGTCTCTGTGCGTCTGACCTTTGCAGTGTCTGTGCAGGACGTCCAGCGCTGCGATGAGGAACTCGTGGGCATCCTGCTGCTCGTAGCCAGCCAGGTGACGGGCGTGGGTCCACACGAGGTGGAGGAGGCGGAACGGGATGTGAGGTGAGCGGTGGCCTGAGTAGAACTGCGGTAAGGGGGTGGGAGGAGTTTGTGTTTTCAAATGACACTTTCTGAATCATCTCCTTGTCCTCTCTAAACTACTAAAATAAAATCAAAGACGTAGTACCTCCTGGAACAGTTGCGACATCTCGCACACCAAGCAGGAGTTGCTCTGCATCTCGCATTTGTGCCGGTCCGAGAGGAAGAAGTCTCGCAGCAGTGGGGTGTGCGTCAGCGCCTGGACGATGCAGTTCATAAAACACGTGTTGCCCAGATTTATCAGCCCGCGCAGGCCTGCAGGTGGAAGAGGGACAGCAAAGGAAAACAGACATAAACGCAGTTCAAGGAAACAAAAGTGTGTGGACAGGATAAACAGAAAAAGAGGCTTCGTGGCTGCTGCAGTGTGGCAGCTAGGCTGCAATGCTGTTATAGACACACACACACACACACACAC